GTGCATATGTGTGCATGTGTTTCTGTGTGATCATGCATATCTGCATGCACATGCATATGTACATATGCATGTGGCATGCATATGAGTGTACATGCATGTACTCATGTATGTAAGCATGTTGTATGTGTGTTCCATTGTGTGTTGCATGTGTCTGTATGCATGTGTGATTATGTGCACATGTGTGTATGTATGTGTGCTTGTGTATATGTGGGTGGGCATGCCTGTGTGTGCCTGTTTGTACTTGTGCACATGTGTGCATATGTGTGTGTACACACACGAGTGTGTCCATGCGTGTGTTTGCATATGTGCATGTTTGTATGTGCTAATGTGTACATTTGTGTGTATATACGTGGGTGCATGTGTATGGCCATTTGTATGCACATATATATGTGTATGTATGTGCCTGTGCTTATGTATGAGGTTTGCTGGCTCCTGAAACCCAGGGAGAGCAGTGGGGGAAGCAGAGGCCAGATGCACCCCTGGATCGTTTCTGGTTCTAAGGAGGCTGCCTCCTCTTTAGGGAAGTTTCATTACAGAGCCAAGTCAGCTGCTGGGAGGAGGAAACATACTGAAGTATGTCGGCCCCATGAGTTCCCAGATTTGGAGGCATCAGGAAGGAAGGTTGTGTGTTTGGGGAGTATCTTGAGTTGTGTCCCTCTGAAGCAACCACAGCTCTGGGAACTAACTTTCAGACCGAAGGTTCTGAGCATTCTCCTTCTTTCAACGTGATCCATTATTAACTTACTGGGCAATAAACTCCTTTCTGAACCTACTCGCCTATTCCAGAGAGCAGAAAAGAAAGTCAGTATTTGTTTTTCCATCAAGGTCACAGTCAGCTGACAAGTCCTTTAACAAACAGTTTGGAAGCAGACCAGGTGTGCTGAACTTATTGAATCAACTCCACTCCTGCAGCCTAAATCTGGCCTTGTGGGAGGGAAGCGAGTCCTGCTCCAGCTGTGCAAGTTGGAGGGATCCAGATCCAGCTGCTGCAGTGTGGGCACAAAAGGGAAAAAAGCAAACACTTGCAGAAAAATGTGAAAACGGAGTTAATGAGATTGTGTTAACATGCACTTTCCTGAGCATGCATTCTCTCTGTCAATCCCTGTGTGGGTAGGAAGTGAGCCCGGCTGAGATCTCTGTAGGTAGACTCTTTCAGGAGTGCATCTCACCCCTCTTGTGCCCCAGCTTCAGCCCTCCCAAGGATCAGCAGAGCTATTGGATTCATCCAGCTTTTTAGCACAGGAAACAGTTCCACTCAGAGACTTGGGGTCCTAGGATGGGGAATGGAAGCTGAAGCAGCTCCCATCTCTGGGCAGGACTGTCCCAGGTATGGAAGTCTTACTTTTCTCTTTTGAAAAGAGGATTTGTCTTTGCAAGGTGATTGTGAAGAGACAGGAAGGGTTGTTCTTGGTGTTCTACCTTGCTAAATATTTGACTTTGAAGGTTGAATTCTCCCAAGAATTTTGTGGTAGTGAGTTTGTGCATTGAGCCAAACTCTCTTTTCAAGGAAATCCAAGGTGCTATTTATTTTGGCATGCAGCCTGTTCTGGGATGAAAAGTGGCATTTTTATTATTGTGGAATAAAGAGGGGTTTGAAGAGAACAAAAATGCAGAACCAGGTTTCAGTTTCAAGACTCAGGAAGCTTTCTTTATATTTTGACTTGAGGTTAAATGAGGTTTGAAAACGGCATCATAAAAGGAATAAATGTGGGGGTGGGGTAGGTGAAGATGCTGCAGGAGTTGGGCTTAGCTGAGGAAATCCACACTCTTGGGCACCAAGTGTGAGCCTGCAGGAACTCTTGCTGATATGGCCTGGCTGCACAAGGGACCTTCATTTTGGACACTGATTGCCTTGGTGAATTAACAGCAGCTTTAGACTCTGCTTCCCCACTGCCCCATAGAATTGAAGGGCATTATGGACTGATAATGTTACACAAGCAGTCTTGCCCCTAATTAAGTGGGAAACTGATTGAATAGCCTCTGGGTGCCTTAATGTCCTCATTGATAATTTAGAGCCAGCTCCCAGGATTGTTCAAGTGGGGGAGGGGGTGTGGAATGAGACCCAGAGTAAGTGCTTAGCACTTCTTCATTTCTTTCCATAGATTCCATTGGAAGACAGACAAGTTTGTTCCCTATTCCTCATTTAAGAACTGTGTGCTGTGTACCTAACACACTTTAGATGTGGAGAGTTGGAGGTGATGCAGGAATGCAGCTTGCAAGAATTCTGGACTTTACAGCCAGCCTTACTGATAAAGAGGGGAGGGGGTAGAAGGAGATAAAGCTCTAAGCACTCAAAACATTAAGAATGTAATTATGGGGCTGGAGAGATGGCTCAGCTGTTAAGAACACTGTTCTTGCAGAAAACTCAGGTTCCAATCCCAGCACCCACATGGCAGCTAACAACTGTCTGTAACTCCAGTTCCAGGGGATCGGACAGCCTCTTCTGTCCTCCATGGGCATTGCACAACAGGGGTGCACTTACCTACATGCAGACAATATATGCATACACATAAAATAAAAATAACAAATAAAATATTTAGGAAAAAAAATAATGTAATGAACCAGGGAGAAAGGTTGGGCCCTGATTTGGGATCCTTGAGACAGGAACAGGCCACAGGCAGAGGAGAAGCTGTATAACAGCAGGTATTAAAAGATCTTCACACAGTCCGGTGTAGCACATGCCTTAATACCAGCACTCAGGAGGCAGAGGCAGGCAAACTTGTGAGTTCAAGACTAGACTGGTCTACAAAGGTCCAGGACAGTGCTGCTGAAGCTTCCAATGCTCCAGAGTTACAAGATTCCATTTTAAAGAGGGAATTATTCTCATATTGTTTTGTATTGCAAATAAAGTAGCATGTGACAGTGTGGCAGTTACTATTTTCCCCTCACCTAACCATCAAACATCTGCCCAACTCAAGAAATTCCCCCTTAGCCCAACTCCAAAGACGGCTGCTGTAAGGATCATAAAAGAAAACGGAGCTGACTGGGGCTGGGGCAAGGATGGGGGAAGAGAAGGGAGCAGGGCAAGAATTCCTTCCTTTCCTTGCTGTGTTTAGAGCCCTTTAGAGTGAGAAGTTGTGGAACCCCTTCCTACTAGCCCTGGGATGTCAACTCCACTTAATATCTATAGCCTTGAAGTGGTTGGTTTTAGCAAAATTCAAGTGGAGGAGAAACCTTAGAGGTCTCTATAGAGTTTTTCATACTGAAATTTGGTCTAATGTGTTTGGAATAATTACCTGAAGTCATTTGATCCCATATTCGATAGGCTGAATTCAGAATTCCAGCCGAGGCAGCAACTGACTTCCCCAGGTGCTGTTCAGAGTTTTACTGCCACACACGGCCTCTGGCAACCTCTCTTCCTCAGGCAGAGCATTGGTGGTTGGTATCTAGCCTTGGAGAAGCAGAGCCAAGCTGTCCTTTGGTCTAGGAGGCTTTACAAGAGGCTTTTCATGGATTGACTAGTAAAGCAAGAATCATTAGTCAGGAAGGTTTTGCCTCACAAGGCAAGTGAGGGGCAGTCACAGCAACTGTGGACTGGACTGGCCTACATCGAGGACAGATGTTCACAACCACTTCTGTCTCTGGCACACACTTAGAGTTGGCTACGCTTAAGCACATGCTCTGTGCCAATACCTGCTTTTATAGAACTTTGAGCAGGCCCATCAACTCCTAGCCTCAGTCTCCCTATCTGAATAATGAGAATAATAATCCTGTCTGGGTTACGGTGAGGAATGCTTGAGATAATTGGGGTATGTCAGGCTTCCACCCAACTAAGTGGGGTCCTTGGTACTGGCATTCCTTCTGCAGGAGTGTCTGCCTCCACAAAGTCTGCCTGCCCTTTGGGGCTTCACCAGCCTGCAGAGGGAGAGGCCTTATGGTAGCTGTGTATGGAATGGTGTGAAAGGGCCCAGGCAGGAAGCAGGGAATGAGCTTTGGATGCACAGGCAGAGCTCACAGTTATGCTACACTATTGGGCAAGCCTGAACTCACTCTTCCTCAGAAGACTAATGTTTTTCTTCTGCAGTTAGTCGTTGGTTCTCCCTTTTCCACCTTGAGATGGGGGAGGTGCTCAGTCCTCATGCTGTTTTGGTTTCCCCAGCCCTTCCCTCATCAGTGGCCCACTTCTCGAGTCTGGATATTGTCAAACACATTGAAATTCCTAAAATCGCCCTGTGGATAATTCATTATTCTGATGTGCGTGGAATAACAATCATAAAAAGTCAATTTCCTGGGTGATTTATTGTAATGGGACAGAAGCTAGAGAGAGTCCTGGGAATGGTTTAAGACTCTGGAGAGGACTGATAGTCAAGCTTTAAGGTTTGCCAAAGAGTCAGGACAGCATTCTGCTCAGTCACTGATGTCTTCTGGCCCCCTATATGGTTTAAGACTCTGGAGAGGACTGATAGTCAAGCTTTAAGGTTTGCCAACAGAGTCAGGACAGCATTCTGCTCAGTCACTGATGTCTTCTGGCCCCCTGGGTTGAACCTCCCCCTCCCCTTGTCCTGCCCATGGTTAGAAATCACCTCCACGTACCAGCCCCTGCCAGCTTTGACATGACCTCGTCTTGCCTTGAGTTCAGTCAGAATGCCTCACATCATCTACATGAAATCCTTCCTAGCTTTTTCACAAAAATGGATTACATTCTCTTAACAGATTGGGAAAGTATAATGCTGGTTCTTAGATGCCCTGGGGCTGGTTCCAGCTCCATTGCTAACATGCTGAGAGACCTTGAACAGAGCAATTTACTTAGCTTGAATCTCCTCATCTGCCAAGCAAAGGGCTGGACCAAGTGCTTCCTTTAGTATTGCTAGCATTCTTTGAAGACACAATGAAAATTGGGCTCTAGGGTTCATACAGGCTTTCCATCTCCCATCTTGGAAAGCCAAGAGTTCATGGGCACCCCTGGGAGAAGGCAGAGGTGGGTGGTACCCACCTCTTTCTTGGTGCTGTGTTCTTTACCTCTAACTCTAATGAGATTGACCATTTCTCTTTTCTTTCAGAACTCTCCACGAATTACAGAGATTCAGTGGTTGAAGAGTGCCTGAGAGACCAAGGATCGTATTCCTACGATGGAAAAGACAGATGGTAGGCAGGTGGCTTTCTATTCTCTATTTTAAAGGTTTACTTGGTTTGGAAAGGGATAGTCACAATCCAGGGAATAGCTCTAGAGAGAACTGTGGAGACATTCCCCAAACAGGCAATTCCGGAAGGCCCATCCACCTACTTCAAATGTGAGCCACAGAAGGTGGTAGAGAATGAAGATGAGATCTGATGAAGTAGAAAACACTAGTCATGTATAATTAAATGTTTTCTCATCTTATCCAATCATCAAGGAAATAGGGTTCCCTTCCTCATCACCGTTGCCCTATAGATGAGGGAGTCAAAAATGTTGTGACTTGAACAACATTTATTTTCAAAAGATTGTGCAAACTGTCATGTAAGGGTCAGTATTTTTTGTGTGGACTGGCATAGTTGATCTTTCCTAGGCCCATTCATGTGGTCTTCTAGGTGGCTGAGCTGGAGCTGGATAGTTAAAATGGTCTTGCTCACTCCTGGGCCATCAGTAACCATTTGGCCATATGTCACTCATCATCCAGGAGGATAGCTAGGACATGTTACCACATGGTGGCAGAGGGTTCAATCACAGCTGGAGAGATGGCTCAGTGATCAAGAGCACTGACTGCTCTTGCAGAGGACCTGAGTTCAGTTCCCAGCACCCATATGGCAAATAGCAACCACCCTTCACTCCAGTTCCAGGGGATCCAATGCCCTCTTCTGACCTCTGTGGGTATTATATGTACGTGGCACACTTAGGTACATTCAGGCAATACACTCATACACATAAAATAAAGATAAATAAATAATTTTTTAAAAAGAATAGAGGCTGGAGAGATGACTCAGTGGTTAAAAGCACTGGCTGCTCTTGCAAAAGACCCAGGTTTGATTCTCAGCACCCACATGGCAACTAACAACTGTCCATTACTCCAGTTCCAGGGGAGTCCAACATCCTCTTTTGACCTCTGTGGCATTTTACAACACAGGGGCACTCACATACATGCAGGCAATACACTCAAACATATAAAATAAAAATAATAAATAAAATTGGGGGGGCCTGGAAATATGGTTCAGCACTTAAGAACACTGGCTGTTCTTGCAGAAGACCTGGGTTTGAATCCCAACACCCACATGGCAGCCAACTGTCTGTAACTCCAGTTCCAGGGGATCTGATGCCCTCTTCTGTCCTTTGTTGACATTGCACGACACAGGTACACTTACATACATGCAGGCAATACACATAAAATAAAAATAATAAATAAAATATTTTTAAAAAACAATAAATAAATTTCAGTGGGCAGCCAGTGTTCAAATCTCTGCCTGTGTCATGATTACTGTTGCCCACGTCCACCCTCCCAGCCAAAACCAGGCACAAGGTCCAGGCAGCAGAAGAGTACCCAGAGGTAATATAATACTGCATCCATTTTTCCAAACTGTCTACCATATCTCATCTATAAATGGGTACTAATACTATCTCCTAGAGCTGGTAAAGAAGGAAGCAAGATAGTACACAAACAACTATTGCATAATAACTGTCTAGCACAGTGAAAGTTTGAATGAATATTCCCCTTGTCTCCTCCACGGAAACATGCTGAAGCTCATAACCTAGACCCCAGTCTCCAGGCTTCTTATGAGATGCTTTTTTCCAGATCACTCAATGTCAGGAAAAGGGAGCGTCTATAATCTTTGAATCACGTGACCCTTACTGGAGCAGGACCTGGGACTAGACCTCAGCTGCAGCTCTGTCTCTTGTCTTTTTCTAAATGCATTGCAGTGTGTTTCAAGAGCCTGCCACTCTCCCCAGAGAGTTGCTTTTCAGTGCGTCTCTGGAAATGATCCCAGAGGGCACTAGCTAGGTCCCTGAGAGCTGGGGAGCCCGTCATTCTGCCACCCCCTTCTTGTTGGTCCCTGCTCTGCCTTCTTAGTATCACTGTCTCCTCCTTGGTCCCCGATAATAGCTCAAGAAGGGCGCCCCTCCCTTCAGGCACAGGCACAAAGCAAAGCTTCCCTTCCTATCTTGGCTTTTCCGAGAAGTTCACTTAATACCCGTTCTTTCCAGCTTCTTTTTGGCCACTTTCACTCTAGTTCTGTTTTCCTCATTTCCTTCAGAAACTGACTGCAGACACTTGAGCTTGACTTTCTCTTTATACTATGCTTCACGTGGCCTTTGAGGTGATGACTGGCACTCTTAACTTTGTCCCTTTCCTATCTCCTCCTCACCACCACCCCCCCGTCCCTGTTAAGTATCTGTCAGTCTGTCTGTATCTGCTTAGACTAATGGCTGTGTTTGCAGGTTTTATGCCATTCAATTGTGCTTTAAATTTTTTAAGACTTTATTTGTAGTTTATGTGTATGAGTGTTTTGCCTGCATGTATGTGTGCAATGTCTGTGGAGGCCAGAAGAGGACATCAGATCCTCTGGATCTGAAGTTATAGACTATGGTAAGTCTGGGAACCATGTGGATGCTGGGAACTGAACTTGGGTCCTCTGCAAGAGCAGCAAGTACTCTTAACTGCTGAGCTATTTCTCCAGTCTTCAACTGTGCTTTTAGAGCAAGATCCCACATGGAAATTCCTGGTAGCTCTTGAATGTCCTGTACCTTACTGTTTTCTTTGCCCCCTGATTCATTTTTTTTCTGTTTCTTCACTTGTTTTGGGGGGCTCTCATTCCCACCTGAGCCTGTGGTCCTCACAGAGTTAGATATTCCAGGGAGAGAATCCATAGTCAGTCCTCTCCTGTCCCATTGGAACCTGCTCCTCTCTGCCTGGAGGATCCTCACCGAGAGCCCACTCTGTGCCATGTTCCCTAATAATCACAGTCACCGCACAAGTCAGGCATCATCTCTACCTTACAGAAGAAGAAACTGAGGCAGAGAGAAAGAAAATGCTTTTCCTAAAGCCACACAGGTAGGAAAGTTGATTTACCTGATCTGAATTTTATTTTAAGCTGAGGTGTTTCTCTTAATTCTTACCTTGGCCCCATGCCTGGACTCCTGAGCTCCTTTTACCAGGCAGAACTAACAAGAGCGGAACTTAATGTGAGTGTGGGCCTCCCACATAAGGGCTCAAGCTCCTGCAAGGCCCAGCATTGCTCTTGCTCTGGGAGAAAAAGAGGCATGCAGAGTGATGAG